GATCATTAGAGTTGCTCTCCTGGAGTTGGTAACTTGATACCAAGTGTTCCCATTTGAGAGAATATACAGGTTTCTCTTTGCTGGATGTGTCACCAATAGGCACAGCTAAGAAACTTTAAGGTTTTTTCTATTCCTCCCTTTGGAGATTAGCAGAGTGACAGGTTTGCCTAGGTCTTCAGAGCAGGCAAGAAAACATTGCTGTTAAAAACTGTTTTTATTGATAAACTGCCAAATAAACAAAAAGGAATTAAACTCCCTAAATCATCCAACACTGTCCTTGGGGGCAAATACACTTTGTCAAGAAGCTGTGTCAGTAAAACCACCACTCTCAACAACTTTTAGGCGGTGTCTAGACTGGCAAGTTTTTCCGCAAAAGCAACTGCTTTTGCGGAAAAACTTGCCAGCTGTCTACACTGGCTGTTTGAATTTCCGCAAGAACACTGACAATCTCATGTAAGAAATCAGTGCTTCCTGCGGAAATACTATGCTGCTCCCATTCGGGCAAAAGTCCTTTTGTGCAAAAGCTTTTGCGCAAAAGGGCCAGTGTAGACAGCTCAGATTTGTTTTGCGCAAAAAAGCCCCGATGGCGAAAATGGCACTTTTTGCAGAAAAGCGTCCGTGCCAATCTAGACACGGTTTTGCGCAAGAAAGCCCCGATTGCCATTTTCGCCATCGGGGCTTTTTTGCACAAAACAGTTTTTAGCTGTCTACACTGGCCCTCTTGCCATAGCTCGGGCCAGGAGAGAAGCACCTATCTATGACTGCTGCAGCGGGCACAGCTGGGGAACAGACAGACAGGACACAAACTCAAATATATAGTAAAAAACAACAAATGGTCTGGTAGCACTTCATAGACTAACAAAACATGAAGATGGTATCAGGAGCTTTCATGGGCACAGCCCACTTCTTCAGATGACCGGCAGATGACTCGGCTACCCCCTGAAGCTTTCAAATATATAGTGATAGCTGTCCCTTTCTTCGCCCCTGCCCTCTGCTGGAACAATGGGATTATAACAGCATGGCCCCTATCTCTGGCCCCTTGCTGCCCCCCTGTGGTCATTATATAATATAACCATCCCTGCTGACATCCTTCACTTCCCATTTTATGAGAACTAATCCCAGCCCAGCCCCACCCCACCCTGTCCTGGTAGAACCAAACCTTCACCTTACTTTGAGTTACAATAGGAAGTTGTATACCAAATCTGGTGGTCCTGGCTCCTACCATTTAGGAGATCTTGAATACAGATGCACACTTATAAAATATATAGTAAGATTTACTTTTACATGGGCCCATATTTACATCCCAATAGGTCCAGAATTGATCATACATGCAGTCTAGTCTGCAATCCTTGACTCAAGTTTACTTCAGTTCACTTCTGCTTAGAGGACCTGCTCCCAGAAAATACTTTCTTCGGCCATGACTAATCCTATCAAGTTATGTTCACATTCATTTGGTATGGGCACAGCAATTTAGCACCGTCCTAACATATAACAACTAAATATTATCATTTAGGCTGAGAATTGTAATTGTGGAACATCTCACTAGTAAGTGAAAGCACACTTGCTAACAAACCTATTAGATTCTGTACTACTAGCACCCATTCTACCTTTAACTTGAAATCACTTTAGAAAATGAAAACAGCAGACTGAGATATTAGAACAAGCACAGGGTTAAGTTAAATCTGTTCTGTAGTTCACAGGACTGAATTCTGGCTTTTTAGCTCAATATTTGATAAACATATCATTTTACTTATCCTGTGGCCATTTTACTTATCACTTTACTTTAAAAATTTGTTGAGTAGTTGAATAAAAAGTGGAAGAAGCCAAAAGATCTATATAATACAGAATGGTTCAGAATCGTAAAACACTAGAACTGGAAGGGACCTCGAGAGGTCTGTACCATCTTCTTCTAGACCATCCCTGATAGATGTCTATCTAATCTGCTCTTAAGTATCTCGAGAGATGGAGATTCCACACCCTCCCTAGGCAACTTATTCTTGTGTTTAACCATTTGACAGTTAGAACATTTTTCCTAATGTCCAACCTGAACCTCTATTGCAGCAGTTTAAGCCCATTGCTTCTTGTCCTCTCCTCAAGGGCTAAAGAGAACAATTTTTCTCCCTCCTCCCTGTGACACCCTTTTAGATACCCAAAAACTGCTATCATGTCCCCTCTCAGTCTTCTCCTCTCCAAATTAAACAAGCCCAATTCTTTCAGTCTTCCTTCATAGGTCATGTTCTCTAGACCTTCTCTAAATCTTTCTTGAAATGTTGTACCCAGAACTGCACATAATACTCCAACTGAGGCCTAATCAGCGCAGAGTAGAGCAGAAAAATGACTTTTCATGTCTTGCTCATAACACTCCTGTTAATGCATCTCAGAATCATGTTTCTTCTTTTTTTTTTTTTTTTTTTTTTTTGCAAGTGTCATACTGTTGACTCATATTTAGCTTATGGCCTACTATGATCCCTAGATCCCTTTCTGCAGTACTCCTTCCTAGACAGTCGCTTCCCATTCTATGTGTGCGAGATTGATTGTTCCTTCCTAATGGAGTACTTTGCATTTGTTCTTATTAAACTTCATTCTATTCACCTCAGACCATTTTTCCAGTTTGTCCAGATCATTTTGAATTATGACCCTATCCTCCAAAGCAGTTGCAACCCCTCCCAGCTTCGTATCATTTGCAAACTTAATAAGCGTACTCTGCCAATATCTAACTTGTCGATCAAGATATTGAACAGAACCGGTCCCAAAACAGACTCCTACAGAACACCACTTGTTATGCCTTTCCAGCAGCCGTTAAAAAATTCTCTTTGAGAACAGTTACCCAGCCAGTTATGCATCTACCTTATAATAGCCACATCTATTTGCATAGTTTATTGATAAGAATATCATGCAAGACTGTATCAAATGCCTTACTAAAGTCTAGGTATACCATGTCCACTGCTTTTCCCTTATCCACAAGACTTGTTATCCTATCATGTTGCTCTATTGAAAGTGTGACATTTTCCTTGATCACTGGTTAGTTTCAGAACTTTGTCTTTTATAAACATAGTAACCAGTCAGCTTTGTAGCTGGTAAAGAGGTATACCGAAGCCTTATTAGTATGAAGGACCTTGAAAAGTAAGAGAAATAGCTTGTTTAACAATGGAGAGACAGAAGAGATATTCAAAGTGCCAGGAGAATGATTTTTGCAGTAGCATTCTGAACGAATATTAGGTCAAGATTACATTTCAGGGCCAGAGGAAAAAAGTTGTTGTAGTAATCAAGACATGAAAGCTTGGATGAGAGTTTTAGATGCATGCATAGATAGGAAAGGCTGTATCTTAAGATATGTTATGCAGAAAAATATCAGCAAGATTTAGATATAGTTTAGATGTTAGAGCTTTAAAACAATTCAGAATCAAAGATGATACCCATTTTGCTGGTCTGACACACAGTGATGAGGTAATCCACAAGCATCAAGAAAAGTGGTGGGGGGGGGGGTGGGAAAGATTTAAAACTGTTTTAACCATTTTGAGCATGAGTTGATGGCTAGCCATCCACAAAGAAATGTCAGAGAAACCAGATGACACTTTAGTTTGCAAAGGAGACAGTAGAAGGGAAGACCTGTAAGTGATCCACAAAGAGATAGTGGTTGAATGAATACGTTTGCGGATGAAATTACCTAGAGATAACGTGCAAAAGGGGAAGAGAAGGAAATCAAAAAGAGCCCCCTTGAACTTCCACAGAACGTTGAAGGAATCTCCAGAGGACATGCTGAAACATCAGAGACAAGGAAACCAAGGAACCACACTGAAGAAGCAGCCAAGGGAGAACGTGATTTCAAGAACACAGATGATGACTTTGAAGGCAGCTGAGAGGTCAAGGATGAGGATAGTTGTAATAATAGGGCCTACAAATTTACCTTAACAGTGAACTCAACTGCTCATGAATTGTCAGAATTACCTATTATATAAAACAGTTGAGAGGAGACAGACTGAATTACACAGAAAGGGCTTACTGGCACTAATCAAAGAAGTGTAAGATGATGACTGGTAAATAAAGACAAAAAAAAATGGACCAAAATACGGGGTTTGGAAATTAAACCTTTTAGAGTGCAATTAGGTTGCTTTTTTGTAGCCCTTAGAAAACACCGTAGGGGAAAAATACCATTTTTTATCGTCACTGCAGTAAGAGTTATTGCTGTAGCACCAATCCCAGATAACCCAACGGATGTTTGACCATTATTACTGCATCAGAAAGCCCCAGATTTACACTTGAGATCTTGCTGTCTCTTCTTCTGCAGCACCAACACAGAAAGAAGAGACTGTCCATCCAGCTCTGCTCAAGCTTGAGAATGAGGAGAGGAGAGAGATCTGACCAGATGAAGCAGATGTTTTGCCAGACCAGAGAGGTGAGCTACGATCAGTGGCCAATCTAAAGTATGTTTATGAATGAACAGCCTCCCTGTATCCTAAGAACATGGAGAAAGTGAATAAGGAAAACTTATTTACTTTTTTCCCCACAAGAACTAGGAGTTACCAAATGAAATTTAATAGGTAGCTGGTTTAAAACAAATAAAAGTATTTCTTCATGCAGCACAGAGTCAATCTGCAGAACTCCTTGCCAGAGGATGTTGTGAAGACCAGGACTTTGACAGGGTTCAAAAATGAACTAGATAAATTCATGAAGGATAGGTCCATCAACGCTTATTAGCCAGGAGGGGTAGGAATAGTGTTCCTAGCCTGTTTGTCAGAGGCTGGAAATGGATGACAGGAGAGGGATCACTTGATGATTTGTTCTGCTCACTTCCTCTGGGGGCATCTGGCATTGGCCTTTGTCTGAAGACAGGATACTGGGCTAAATGGAGCATTGGCCTGACTCATTATGCCCATTCTTATATTCTTAAAGTCAACAAAAGCTGTATTTCTCCCTCATCTTTACTATCCTCTCTCTTTTCTCTCTTTTGTGTTGTTAAAAACAAGACAAGTCTTGTTTAGAGCATCCACTTACCTAAATAAAGTATTGAAGTGTATTTTTAATATAAGCACAGGAAATAATACAGCCTGTTGGTTGACACAAAAGTAGAAACGATCTAATTAGAAAAGGTTGATTTACATGTCTTGCAGCCCCACTGCTACTAGTAGGAAACACTGATACGCAATTACAAATCTTGGTGAACACAGCTCCCTATACTCAGGTCTTCTTTTAATCAAGCTGTACTCTAATTTATAGTGACTTTTTTAGCAAAGCAAATACATTTAACCAGGACTCTTGATAGGATACAGCAGTAACATAACTGACAGTGTTCAAGCTGATTGTGGGACTTTCATTTTCTTGGGCATAGGTTTTGGTGTTTTGGGAGCTTTCTTGGCTGATTTTACAAGCTTGCTCCCCTTAGGAGTCACAGAGGATTTTGCTTCTGTTTTTGTGGGAGTCTTTTTCAGCTTCTTTTCCTTTACTGCTTCCTTTGGGGTCTTGGGCTTCTTGGGTTGTTTCTGTTGAGCTGGTGTTGGCAAATCTGCCTGAGCTGCAGCCAATTTAAGTTTTGTTTGTGGAGTCTCCTGAGTCAATGTCGTCATCTTTCTCTTACCAAGAGGTGTCTTAGATTTCTTGCTCATGTTTACACCTTGTCCTGAAGTTTGATTTGGTTTCATCTCCTGTATTTAAAAGATAGGAAAAAACATCAACTTACAACACAGGAAACACTGTAATTGTTTTACAATACAAGATTAATAAAAACGCTAGCACTAAAGATCAGTGCTATCTGCTAAAGAGAATATTCTCTGCCCTAACTTATTCTTTCCTATTTCAGATGGGCTATATTTTGACTGATACCTGTGTTTCCTTTCTGTACAGTAAGTAGAACATACTGAGTATTTCTAAAGGCTGTGTGCTTAAAATAAAATATCCAAGATGGCTATTTTGAATTTTAGACCAATTTTGTAACTTGTATTATTCATTTATTTTTTCTTCATTTGATATTCAAGATAGATATACCCAGCAAATCTGCACGCTGAGCATAGTTAGAGATGTGAATACAATATCTTCCAAAGTTAACCTGATAGTTTTGAATAAATTTTAATTATATGATTGTGACTGTCTCCATTTCCCAGTTATAACTGGACTGGTATAAAGAGCCCACCAAGGTTCTGAAACTCTATTTTATTGCTATTAAAAGTGTAAATTGTGTGGACTAGTCCACAAAAGATTTGACATTACCATTCTGGGGAGAAGTAATCTCCATTTAGGCAGAAGATGGCACACAAAGAGATTTATTGGATTCAAAACACGCCTCAAACCTGTTTAATTTCCAAGTCAGAATAAGGGAATGAATTGTTACCTGGCAGCTAAGATTATCTATGATAATCAGTCTGTTACTGATGTCAAGCAATTTGATGAAACCATATAATAAGATAAATTGGCAGAATATCAATTTACAGAGTACACAGTTTATCTTTCCAAATGGCAGATAAGTGGAAAGTGAGTTGACCAATCTAAGATTTTGGACATCTGGAGTGCAAGTAACAGATAAAGCAGTGGCTTCTGGAGCAAAATTTTATGTAAGAGAGGATGTTCCTTGTGCTAGTGATATGGTTTCCAAAAAATGAATTGCTATTGTCCAGCTTTTCTTTTAAAAAAATAGCTTCCTCAGTCTGTAAGAAGCCTATAAAAAAAAATCACAAGAGAAAAGAATCCCTTGCTCTTCTGATATTCCCAGTAATACCTATTATGCTTCAAGTGTATTAAAACACACAAGCATGCAAGCATTAGGTTAGGCATACTAATGATTTAATTTCACTATTTCCATTAGCCTCAAGATTTTTCCCTTCTAAAAGTATATTTCATCAACATTTAAAAGCTTCACACAGTTAAAGCTAAACTTTAAATTTCACAAACTTATTGTTAAAACAGAATTACCTCTTGCCCAGCAATGCTGGTGTCTGTCTGAATAGGAACTAGTTGTGGAATTTCTCCATCATCCTCATCTGGGTCTGTCATTGCCAAAGTTTCATCTTTTCCTTTCTGTACTGTCTCAAGGTCTCTGGTAGCAGCATTTGTATTATTCTTTTCAGTTGTCACTTTAGCTTTAGTTGAAGTCTGTTCTGTGGCTGCCTTCTGCTTCCTTTTTTTCCCTTTCTTTTTCTTACAGAAAAAAATAAAAACATTGTCAGTTATACATCACCTCCCCCATCTACCCTCCCAGTATGATCCTTATTATTACAAATACAGCGATCCATTGTATTACAAAGGCAAGAATGATCAACCCACTATTGCAAAACTTCTGAAATTGAAGATCTTGAGAGTGTTAATTTCTTAACCTACACTAACTGCCATTCTTCAGTGACAGCGATTTTATATGCAATGTTATCATGAAGCTAACCATTCAGCAGTTCAGATTTGGCAACAAGCAAGGAGGAAACAAAGCTGAGTTACTTTTCAAGCGCTTGCTAAAGATATAGAACTAATGTATGAATATATATACAGGCAGTCTCCGGGTTACGTACAAGATAGGGACTGTAGGTTGGTTCTTAAGTTGAATTTGTATGTAAGTCAGAACTGGTACATTTTGTAGGGGAAACTCTAGCTAAACATTTTTCCAGAGCTCAGTTTTATTCTCCCACACCTCACTTCCCTCAGTCCTTTATTCTCAAGCTGAGGTGTCTGCTGAGAAAAGCCGCTCTGCGTCTCCCTAGTCTGCTGGGGG